TTGTATTTCTAATGGTTAGAATTAATTGATAAATATCTAATTTGATTAGATGTCAATTAAAGGAATATATTAATCAATAAGATTGATTAATTACATTTTGGATATTACTTTAGTAATTAAGGTAATTACTAAATTAATAAAGTTGAATTTTAAAATAGGATTTTAAATTTCAAATCCAAAATAATAATAATATGATTATTATAATATGGATAAAAATTGGGAAAATGATATAATAATAAAGTCTTGAGAAAGATTCTCAAGATTTTTTATTCAATTATTATTTATATCTTTAAATATGATTTAAGGATTAAAATAATAAATATGATTATAATAGATGGTGGGTAATGGTGGTTATGAACAACCAAACATATCTTATTATTTTCAAAGTCAATAGTTAGTAAATACTATTTAAATAAAATGTGATTTTATTTAAATATTACTAAATATTGATTATTTTATGCTAAAATGTTTAGTATAAATAGATGCAAAATGTTTGCAAACATGGCTAAGTGATTTTGAGAGAAAATCAAAGAGAGAAGAAAGTGTTCTTCATATATTTCAAGAAAGTGTTCTTTGAAATTCCCAAATTATATCTATATATATATTCCTATACAAGAAAACCGAGACATTCCTACTAACGAAGGAAGGTAATCGGAACCGGGATTCATAGGGTGGATACGATTAGAGGGAAGACACTTGGATTCCTAAAGCGAGTAACCTCAAGCCGTTGAAGTTACAACCGGGAACCGATTCCCACAATCCACATCTTTGTTGAAGGAGTTCAAGACACTCGGTAAATATTTCTACTGGTATTTATTTTAATATAACAAATCAAAATTTGTATATGATGCATGTTTTAAAGATGACGATCAGTTAATTCGCAATTAGTATGTACGGGTGTTGTATTTATACAATAAATACTTACTTTAAAAATTTTAAATTCCGCTGCTTACAGCCCGTACGGTACTAGCGAACCCAACAGTTTTCACTATCCAAGATTGAAATCTAAGAAAAACCAAGTGAAATATGAGTTCTGGAGTGAAAAAGTACGAGAGTGTATCAAAACCTAGCAAAGAACATCACGAAAATCGGATCTAAAATCCGAACTTATTTTTCTGCACGTCGCGACCTCCGCGGCCGCGACCTAACCTCTGCGGCCACGGTGAAGGAAACTCGCGGCCGCGACCATCCCCGAGGCCGCGAGCTCATCTGGCCAGAAGTGGAATTCTTTGGGAAGTTTTCGGACTCTCGCGGCCGCGGCGACTAAAACTTGGCGCCTGATTGGTTTTTTTGTTCACCTCTTCACTTTTCGGGCTTGATTATACTCGTTTGGACTCGGAATTCGATTATGTTTTTTTCCTGTGTGTTCCCAATGAACTCCTCTATTTGATTAGGCTTGCCCAACTAGTATTTTTCCGAAATCTTATTCTCCCGAGACTTCCAACCTACACATCAACGACGACGAAAAAAAGGGAAAACGAACGAAAAAATACAAGAAAGACCAAGAAGAGAGCAAATATTAAATAAACTATAAAACGACCTAAAAACCAATTAAAACACCTAAAATGGGGGAAAAATAAAGACTAAAAGACAACAAAAACGCAACAAAGATGGGACAAACAACTCCCCCACACTAAAACCTTTGTTCGTCCCGAACAAAAAGAAAAGAAAAGACACAAAAACAAGCAAACGAGAATGGATAACGGTTTCAAATAAGACCAGCCTCAAATTAATCAACTTAGCCGAGAAACGTCCAATGACCAATCACGCATATCTCAACTACACTCGAATGCAACATTTTGAGAACACAGACGCTCAAGAATGATAATACCAAACATATATGCCTCACTCAGTTTCTTTCATAAATATCAAGTGGATACGCTCAAGTTGGTCGATGATCATGCATCAACATAAGCTTTCTTATTGTCTATTCATACTCTAAAACAATCAAAAATCATGAAGTGCAAATCAAGAGGACTTCTAGGGTTGCAATAAAGGCAGTTTGCACAAGGGAAAGACCAAAATGAAGAATAAGCGGCTCAAATAAACAATCAAATTCTCGAGCATATAAACTACTCGAATGCTCCACCACCTATGAAAAATCAACACGAAACCAATCATTCCCATCAAAACTCCATGCAACACACATAACGCTCAAGATGAAATGCAAATTAAGTACTCGACTGTCTTTCTTTTTTTTTTTTTTATTTTTTGGAGAGTAACTTTTTCCCAAGAAGTTAGTGTTTTCGAAAACCAAGCTCGCACCACCTTTCAAAAACAAAAGCAAAAATTTTACTCTGAATTTTCAAAACTAGTAAGGCACGAGGAGCACTTGAGGACAGTTTTGGAGACACTTTGTGATACGGATAGCACGTGAGACCCATTGGATATATTAATCCAAGAACCAAACGTATATGTAGGCAGCGGAATCCCAGATCGGAGATCTAGTTTGATCGTACCTAGAGCTTGAAAACCTCGACCCGTTAGCTATATAATCAGCTAGGAACCTCGGTATGGTGAACGCCACAAGATCTTGCTCAAGTATCTTGATAAGTTATTAAAACATTTGAAACTCTACAAAAGAGAATTCAAACTCACAAAAGTGATTTTTAATATTCAACAATATTCTTAATATTCATTAAAACATAAAATGGCCTTTTTAAAGGCTACAAATGGTGCTAATGAGTTAATCCCGTTTTTGGGACTCATTAAGCACTAAAAACATAGTTTTGACCACATAAATAAGATTACATGACTTTTGAATGACCTTTTGACTTCTAGCACAACTTAAGAGATATTTTGGTCTCACAAGTGCTGAAAATAGACAAAATAATGGACACTTCAATTGGGCTTCACTCAATGGACGAAAATTAAGACTTCAATCCATAGATTAGTCTTTATGCGAACAATCTTGCCCATCAACTTGAAGAATATTCATCAAGTTGCCTTCAATCGTTGTTCCTTACGTCTTCTCTTGAAATTCAACAATAAAACACTCAAGACTTCCTTCATTTTACTAGCTGTTTCCCTCATGATCGGTCCAGCATTTAATTTCAATAGATCCATCTTACTTTGAACAGAGAGCTTCAACCGAACCCCATCATTCCCTTCTTCTTCAAAATGATTCGTCCTCGAATCCAAAAGTATATTATTAGCATGCATTGGCACAACATCACATAGGACCTCTTCGAACTTGGGTGTCTTCTGCTTGTGGACCTCATCGACCTCCACCACAACATCATCAATCTTGTCGTCCCAAATAGGAGGACCATCATACTCCAATGATTCTGGCACATCTTTGAACTCGTCTTCAACCAAACGTGGATCTTTGTACTCGGTTGACACGTGCTCGTCCACGAGTTTGGTGGCCTCCACATCTTTAGAGTATCCCGGAAACTCAAACAAGAATAAGTATTCCTTGCGCCTTTCATTGGCGATCCTACCTTCATTGCCCTTACCCCTAGAATTGCTCGATAGTGCCACGTCTCCACCTTGGGGCGTGTTGTCCACATACAGCCCCCCGCTTCGCGCCTCCGTGCGCGTCTCCTTGTGGTTCGCCCAACGTACAGCGGCCAAGTACTCAGAAGATTTGGGTGGCAACTTGATCCTCATACGAAACATCTTTTGTTCAATCCGCTCCAAAGTTTGGAAACTTGATTGCAGGAGATCCTTCCACTCCTTATTGCACATTTTTTTTTTTTGAAAGAACAGATTTTTCTCTCTCTCGTTTTTTTTTTTCAACACAAAGATTGATAAAAGAAGATAAAAATCAGATCAATACCAGATTGCTCTGATACCAAACTGATACGGATAGCACGTGAGACCCATTGGATATATTAATCTAAGAACCAAACGTATATGTAGGCAGCGGAATCCCAGATCGGAGATCTAGTTTGATCGTACTTAGAGCTTGAAAACCTCGACCCGTTAGCTATATAATCAGCTAGGAACCTCGCTATGGTGAACGCCACAAGATCTTGCTCAAGTATCTTGATAAGTTCTTAAAACATTTGAAACTCTACAAAAGAGAATTTTTTTTTTTTTTTTTTTACGAAACGATAGAAAATATTATATAACAAAAACGCACAAATGGGCAAAGTACACAGCCCATGTCCGAAAATACAGCCAACAGCTGAATAAAACTGGGAGGACAGGTCTAAAAGACCGCCTAGAGACGACTAGCAACGCTAGAAAGAAAACTCACAATCACACAACACAAACAACCTAACTACGGAACGACCCCAAACGAGGTAATGTGGAACGACCCCCAACGAGGTAATGTGGAACGACTCCAACGGAGTAATTCCTCGCACAGGGGCCAAGTGGCCCAAACCTAAAATACCATACCAGAACAAACCAAAACAGACACAAAATAGCCTAATCCAAATCGAAACACTAACATATAAAACAAGAACACAAAAACACTAAACTAAATAATCTAATAGCCCTTCCGCAGCGAACGAGTAAGCCCGGACTAGAGAGTGCACGATTGACACAAGACCAATCCAGACCAAGCACCAGCTACCGAAACTGCAATTAAGCCTATACAGTAGCGGAACCCAATCCCTAACCAGTCCCCGAATCAACCGATCGACAACCGAATCAACTCCGAGCTCAAACTAATCCCAGAATCGACCCGTCACCAACCGAGACCCGCACCATTCCTGGCCCGAACCCGTCTAACACCACTAGACTAGCTCGGAAAAAACCAGGTCCCCCGCCGCCTAACACCACTAGCCGAACAGGGGGAGAGGGCAAAATGGCACGGTTCCCCAACCTCGACCGCCACCACAGGACAACTGCGCAGCAACCGAGTCCTCTTCCCATCCTCAGACCCACGCACCACCGAGACCGCCATTGAACTCCGGTGGCCAACAGCCAAACCCCCACCTGAAGCTCTGTCGGAGAAAACAGAACCGACCGGAGGGAGCATCAATCTCAGGCGAATACAGAGAGATAAAGGCTTACCACTGTCAATCGAAGGTCCGCCGGCAACTTGAATGTCATCGCGCACCGGAATCCGATCAAAAGTGACGAGACCTTGGAACACTAATTCACCGTCGCTCGAGGGCCACACCACGCAGGGCCGCAGTGAATCGGGCCGCAAGGCATCCAGGACGGGAAGAGCGGTTAGTGGCGACCGCTAGCCAGACCTACTGTCACCGAGGAAGGCAAAACGCCGGCAATTTGAGGGGCTGCGGTTAGGGTTTTTCGAATCGCAGAGAGAAGAGAGAAGAGGGGCTTTTTTTTTTATTTTCCTTTGTCATATGGTTCATAGCTCTCTACAAAAGAGAATTCAAACTCACAAAAGTGATTTTTAATATTCAGCAATATTCTTAATATTCATTAAAACATAAAATGGCCTTTTTAAAGGCTACAAATGGTGCTAATGAGTTAATCCCGTTTTTGGGACTCATTAAGCACTAAAAACATAGTTTTGACTATATAAATAAGATTACATGACTTTTGAATGACCTTTTGACTTCTAGGACAACTTAAGAGATATTTTGGTCTCACAAATGCTGAAAATAGACAAAATAATGGACACTTCAATTGGGCTTCACTCAATGGACGAAATTAAGACTTCAATCCATAGATTAGTCTTTATGCGAACAATCTGGCCCATCAACTTGAAGAATATTCATCAAGTTGCCTTCAATCGTTGTTCCTTATGTCTTCTCTTGAAATTCAACAATAAAACACTCAAGACTTCCTTCATTTTACTAGTTGTTTCCCTCATGATCGGTCCAGCATTTATTTTCAATAGATCCATCTTACTTTGAACATAGAGCTTCAACCGAACCCCATCACTTCGACGGGAGAAGTTGTACGCCAAGTTCTCCAAATGCGAATTTTGGCTCGATAGAGTGGCTTTTCTAGGCCAAATCGTCACATCAAGAGGGATTGAAGTAGACCCGAGAAAGATTGAAGCAGTTCGAAACTAGTCGACACCGAGAAATGCCACCAAAGTTCGGAGTTTTTTCGGTTTGGCAGGCTATCATAGACACTTCATCGAGGGTTTTTCGAAGATTGCCCTGCCCTTGTCTCGTTTGACGAGGAAATCGGTGAAGTTTGAGTGGGATAGTCGTTGTGAGTCGAGCTTCCAGGAGCTCAAAGCGAGGCTTACGACGGCCCCAGTGTTGACTATTTCGGACCCCGCACAGGGTTTCACTATCTATAGTGACGCCTCGAAGCAGAGTCTAGGCTATGTTTTGATGCAAGACGGCAGGGTTGTGGCTTATGCTTCCCGTCAGCTAAAGCCGCACGAGGTCAACTACCCGACTCACGATCTTGAGTTGGCAGCAGTGGTTCACGCCCTGAAGATTTGGAGACACTATTTGTATGGGGAACATTGCGAGATTTACACCGACCACAAGAGCCTACAATATATCTCCACACAGAAGGAGCTCAACATGCGCCAGCGGCGATGGTTGGAGCTAGTGAAGGATTACGACTGTACCATTAACTATCATCCGGGCAAGGCGAATGTAGTTGCCGACGCCCTCAGCCGGAAGGGAAAGAGCGAGCTGACCTGTATGATCACTCAGCAGCGTCAGTTGATTCATGAGTTCGCTCGGATGTAGCTAGAAGTGGTCGAATCACCTCCCAAGTTGCCAGTTGTGGGGGGTATTCGAGCAATGAGGATGTGGCCCACGTTACGAGATAGGATCCGGTGGGATCAAGCCTTCGACGTGTTCATCCGCTCGATGGGGGCGACGATTCATGCCGGAGGAGTTGAGGGTTTCTACCGAGGCACTGATGGTGCCTTGGAGTACAAGGGCAGAATAGTTGTGCCGAATGTCGAGGCCCTGAAGGAGGAGATCTTGACAGAGGCGCATAGTGCTCCATACTTGGCGCATCCCGGTAGCACCAAGATGTATCATGACCTGAAAAGGTCATTCTGGTGGAAGGGGATGAAGAGAGACGTCGCCGAGTTTGTAGAGAAGTGCTTGATTTGCCAGCAGGTGAAAGCCGAGCGCAAGGTTCCCCCGGGTCTCTTACAGCCTTTAGAGATCCCGCAGTGGAAGTGGGAGAAGCTGACCATGGACTTTGTCACGAGATTACCGATGTCGGCCAAGCATCACGACGCGGTATGGGTAGTTGTGGATCGACTGACGAAGTCAGCCCATTTCATGTCTGTCAGGATGGACATGTCCATGGAGCAGCTAGCTGAGACGTACTCCAGGGAATCGTTCGACTCCACGGCGTTCCTGCCGAGATTATATCAGATCGAGATCCCAGGTTCACAGGCCATTTTTGGGAAAGTCTGAACGAGTCCATGGGGACGAAGTTGAAGTTTAGCTCCGCATATCATCCACAGACCGACGGTCAGTCAGAACGGACCATCCAGACGCTTGAGGACATGCTCCGAGCTTGTGTCCTAGAGCATGGTGGTTCGTGGGAGCAGTTGATACCCACTGTAGAGTTTGCCTATAACAACAGTTACCACTCGTCGATCAAGATGGCGCCGTTCGAAGCTTTATACGGTCGCAAGTGCCGCTCACACCTGTATTGGGATGAGGTCGGCGAGAAGCAGGTTCTAGTTGATCGAGGATACAGTGCAGTAGGTCACCGAGATCCGAGAGAGATTGAGAGAGGCTCAGAATCGTCAGAAGGCCTACGCTAACAAGCGTCGAAGGGAGCTTGAGTTTGAGCAGGGAGATAAGGTGTTCCTGAAGGTCACGCCGATGAAGGGCGTTGTCCGATTCAGGAAGAGGGGGAAGCTGCAGCCCCAATTCATAGGGCCCTTTGATATTCTCGAGCGAGTTGGCGTCACCGCCTATCGTCTAGCATTACCCCCAGAGCTCTCAGGTGTATACAACGTTTTCCATGTGTCGATGTTGAGAAAGTACGTGTATGACCTGAGCCACATAGTGAACTTTGACGGGCTAGAGGTCAGGCAGAACCTGACGTATGATGAGCGGCCGGTAGCAGTTCTGGACCGAAAGGTCCGTCGGCTGAGGAACAGAGATATAGAGCTTTTCAAAGTTTGCTGGAGTCGCCACGACGAGTCGGAAGCCACTTGGGAGAGAGAGGCCGAGATCAGAGCTCGTTATCCAGATTTCGAGTTTTGAGATTTTCAGATGTATATATATATATGTACTTTTATTTTATGTTTTGTACATAGTTTGTAGTAGGAGTTCTGGCCTAGCACCCTAGTTTTGTATTTCCGAAGACGGAAATATTTTAAGGATGATAGGTTGTAATGCCCCAAATCAGTAATAATAGTAAGAACGGTTTCACTGCTCGACTAGAAGTGAAATCCGTAACTTTCAGAAATTCCCGAGTTATACTTAGTATGCTAAATGCTCAAATATGATAAATTATTCTTTGAATTCTATATGAAGTTTAACTTGAGATTAATCCATTAATTTGAGTTGTTAAATAATAGCAAGTCGATTCGAGAAATTATCAACTCCGAACCCTAGTATGGTTCCGAGTCATTTTCTAAAAATTTTCCGAGGCTAGCCGAGTCTTGATATTTTATACTTAGAATATTTTTCTAAGTCTTGGAATATCAAGAAGTAAGTCTCGGACATGTTAGAATCGAGCCCTAGTTCATACCCAAGCCACCCGTGTCGAACCTTGCCCGCGCGCCCTTAGCCGCGCCTAAGAACATGCCACCGAGCCCAAGGCCATGTCCTAAGCCTTAGCATCACTTTGCATATTTTTTCTAAGTGTGGAGACCCTTACGTAAGCCCTATACTCGGCCCAAGGCCACCAGCACTAGTGCAGCCCACCTTCCCGCGCCAGCCATGCCGCGCCCAGCAGCCAGCGCCCAGCCCAGCGGCAGGCCTACCAGCCCAACTCCTTGAGCCCAATTTCATAATTTTTGGTATCACTTCTCTCATGACCCAATTCAAGCGTGTAATTAGGACCTAATGAGGATCTAATTAAGCTTAAGTTGCCCTAACAAAAGATTAACCATAGGCATCTATCATGGACAATATTTAATTAGTAGTGCAAGAGGAATCTTTTATTTTTTTAATCACTTGTGCTTGTCCTTGTCCCCCACCCCCGTGCCAGACCTGACCTGACCTCTCCACCATGATTTTTATACTCTAAAATAAGCTCAAAGACCGTGCAAAGTCAGGCCTTAAGCATGCCCAAGGTCTTGGACCTAAATTCCATGCCATGAGATGGGATTCCCACTTCATTTGTCCCCCACAAAGTCACCTAGCTATCTTCGCCCAAAACAGTTAAGGAGCCTTCCTTAGTCCCTTGTAAGCTCTTACACAACTAAAAGCCCGAGCATACCTTGAGAAAAATCAGAGATAGCTCAATCAAAACAAAAACTGCCATCACTCGCGTGCGCAGACCCGGGGAAGACCACCACCGCGCCTCAGCCTTGTCCAAGCCAAATGTCTCAGGGCTTGGCATATTCTAAGTGTTACTTAGATTTTTCTAAGCCTTTTGGAAGAGAAAGGCCCGTGCAAAACACATCCTAAGTCCAACCAAATCCCTAAAGCCGCGCCTAGCCACCATTTGAGCCCTAGCTTTCATTCTCTATTTTCAGCCGAGGTACGCTCGTGCTTCTTGAGTTATTTAGCCATATTATGATATAATATGATTTATCATGAAGTAAAATCGAGCCATGCATGAGTTTATAAGCATGTTTCGAATTTAATGAATACATAGCCTTAAAAATGAAATTTTAGTAGCAAGCATGTTAAAGTCGATTTTATTAGCTAAATCACCCTTAAAAATTTGAATGTAAATGGAGTTCATCACATAGGTCAAATCATTCATGAAAATATGCTATTTTGGCCATCCGAGGCCCATCCTCATGCATGCATGATATGACCTTAGTGTTAGCCATTATAGTCATCATTTGTGATGTATAACATTCGACCCTGAGTAGTTTTGTATGTTATGAATGTTGGTTCGGACGTCAAGTGCTCGTACGTGCCATATAAGCCCTAACGAGTAGCATGCATGTGGACCCGGGGTCCACTAGTGTTTCATAGCATATTTGTGCCTATTTTATCATGCTAAGTTCATATGTCATGCATGTCACCGGAGAAAGTCGCCGGAGGTCCGGCAAGGGCCGACCTTGGTCACTGTCATCGCACATAGCGCGGTAGTGCCCGGCCCAGTGCCAGTCCGTGCCCGCGCTAGCGTGTGCAAGGGACCAGCGTCCGCGACAGCGCGCCAGCAGCGCCTGTCCACGTAGTACACGAGGTCTCGGTGCCAGACGCGCCCAGCACCTCCGACAGTGCCCGACAACGCTGTCCACGCCATACGCACGTGGTCCCGAGCCCAGTCGCTCGTGCCCTACGTAGAGTCAGCCCGAGAAGCCCCAGCATGCGTGGTCACGGCACCCAGCGTGCACGGTCCATGCGCACGACCCCCGACAGCGTTCGTGCCAAGTCCCAGCGCACGAGGTCTCGCGCCAGATCCTCGTGCCAAGTCTAGTGCTGACCCGAGCCGGGTCAGCTGAGCCCAGTCGGCCTCGGGGCATGTCTAGCAGCACGCCCGAGTGCCCAGTGACCTCGGGGACGGCCAATAGCGCCCGTGTGGCCTCTGCCCGTGTCCGTCCCGTGCCAGCAGAGTCTGGCCAGTGCTCGGTCGTGCCCAGCATGAACCCGAGAGGCACTAGTCATGCCAAGGCCGTGCCAGCAGTGCCTAGCCGTGCCTGTCCGCGCCAGTGCGCACCCAGCCTAGTCCAGCGGCACAGGGACCAAGCCCGGCCGCACCAGCAGTGCCCAGCGCCGCGCCAGTCAGCGAACCGGCTGGTTCGACCGGCGGTTCGAGTCTGTTTTGATTCGTGACTTCCAGTCCGAGTCTTTTCAGAATTTTAGTATTTTTCCGAGCCAGTCCAGTCCAGTTTAATCGCGTATATAAGTCCGAGCACTTTAGCATATAATTAAATATTCCGAGCATTATACTTAGCATTATTTTGCTTAAATGTTTATGTAGCCTAAGGAGAGTCGAGCCTCCGACCGCTACTCCAGTCAGCACTTGCATCAATTCAGTTATCAGGTGGGGGTCATGTACTGGATTCCACATTATATATAATATTTGTACCATGGCAGAGGTATGTTCGAGACAGTTAGTTTTTCCAGGTGATTGGCCGACCTAAGGGCCTTTCGAGTTTTACCTGTTACCGGTGGAGGCCGAGGGCCTTAATATCCCATCGGTGTGTGCACACGAGCGGCCGAGGCCGAGGGTCTTTTGACCACAGTACAGAAAGAAAAGAAAAGTTTACAGTTCAGCTCTTATATATTTATGTTCATGATACGTTATTATACATGATGTCTTATTCAGTACTGGTCTTTGCGGAGCATAGTGGTTTGCTCACGCCCCCATTGTGTTTTTCAGGAGACGGAGTCGAGCGTGCCAATTGAGCTATGCGTGGTAAAGCGTGGTCATGACAGTCGAGGACATTTTTACGCACATTTTATGTCCTTGTATTTATGATCATGTACTATTCGAATATGTATGCATGTATGTTGTATTTCAGATATGCTTCCGCTAGTAGACTTAGACTGTGCGAGACAGTTCAGACATTGCATGTTTAATTCCATTATCCGTAGCGGATAGTTTGGTTGTATGTTTTATTTATGTCTGTGAGTAAGTTAAG